ACAAATCGTCCATGTGATAACTAATAGTATACAGAGATAATGACGTTAACTGATCAAATAAAGCTTCGAATCCTTTATGTCAAGCGACCTAGAATTTTCAGATCCAGATTCAGCATACATTCTATTTATTATTTTAAAAGCTTTTTAAACTGCGTTCAAAATTGTGTGCATCCTAATGAGTGTGTTAATTTCAACCCATCCACAGGCTAGGCTCATGCACGCCGCATCCAACCCCTGAAACTCATTTATAATTGTTAACATATTCTGTAATGAAACATAGTATTTTCAAGCATATATATATATATATATATATATATATATATATATATATATATATATATATATATATATATATATATATATATATATATATATATAACTGAAAACTCACACCCCAGAAGTGACTCGAACCCATACTCCCAGAAGCAACGCAACTGGTATGTACAAGACGCCTTAATCCACTTGACCATCACGACCGGACATAATGAGGTGATAGCCGAGGCTATATGAACCACCCCACCGCCGGCACTCGGATAGTTATCTTGGGCATAGCATTTTACCAAATCACCTCATTCTTTGGGGCACACATGAGGAACACAAATGCGAACAAGCCTGAATGGTCCCCAGGACATATGCAACTGAAAACTCACACCCCAGAAGTGACTCGAACCCATACTCCCAGAAGCAACGCAACTGGTATGTACAAGACGCCTTAATCCACTTGACCATCACGACCGGACATAATGAGGTGATAGCCGAGGCTATATGAACCACCCCACCGCCGGCACTCGGATAGTTATCTTGGGCATAGCATTTTACCAAATCACCTCATTCTTTGGGGCACACGTGAGGAACACAAATGCGAACAAGCCTGAATGGTCCCCAGGACATATGCAACTGAAAACTCACACCCCAGAAGTGACTCGAACCCATACTCCCAGAAGCAACGCAACTGGTATGTACAAGACGCCTTAATCCACTTGACCATCACGACCGGACATAATGAGGTGATAGCCGAGGCTATATGAACCACCCCACCGCCGGCACTCGGATAGTTATCTTGGGCATAGCATTTTACCAAATCACCTCATTCTTTGGGGCACACGTGAGGAACACAAATGCGAACAAGCCTGAATGGTCCCCAGGACATATGCAACTGAAAACTCACACCCCAGAAGTGACTCGAACCCATACTCCCAGAAGCAACGCAACTGGTATGTACAAGACGCCTTAATCCACTTGACCATCACGACCGGACATAATGAGGTGATAGCCGAGGCTATATGAACCACCCCACCGCCGGCACTCGGATAGTTATCTTGGGCATAGCATTTTACCAAATCACCTCATTCTTTGGGGCACACGTGAGGAACACAAATGCGAACAAGCCTGAATGGTCCCCAGGACATATGCAACTGAAAACTCACACCCCAGAAGTGACTCGAACCCATACTCCCAGAAGCAACGCAACTGGTATGTACAAGACGCCTTAATCCACTTGACCATCACGACCGGACATAATGAGGTGATAGCCGAGGCTATATGAACCACCCCACCGCCGGCACTCGGATAGTTATCTTGGGCATAGCATTTTACCAAATCACCTCATTCTTTGGGGCACACGTGAGGAACACAAATGCGAACAAGCCTGAATGGTCCCCAGGACATATGCAACTGAAAACTCACACCCCAGAAGTGACTCGAACCCATACTCCCAGAAGCAACGCAACTGGTATGTACAAGACGCCTTAATCCACTTGACCATCACGACCGGACATAATGAGGTGATAGCCGAGGCTATATGAACCACCCCACCGCCGGCACTCGGATAGTTATCTTGGGCATAGCATTTTACCAAATCACCTCATTCTTTGGGGCACACGTGAGGAACACAAATGCGAACAAGCCTGAATGGTCCCCAGGACATATGCAACTGAAAAGTCAATAACTATCCGAGTGCCGGCGGTGGGGTGGTTCATATAGCCTCGGCTATCACCTCATTATGTCCGGTCGTGATGGTCAAGTGGATTAAGGCGTCTTGTACATACCAGTTGCGTTGCTTCTGGGAGTATGGGTTCGAGTCACTTCTGGGGTGTGAGTTTTCAGTTGCATATGTCCTGGGGACCATTCAGGCTTGTTCGCATTTGTGTTCCTCACGTGTGCCCCAAAGAATGAGGTGATTTGGTAAAATGCTATGCCCAAGATAACTATCCGAGTGCCGGCGGTGGGGTGGTTCATATAGCCTCGGCTATCACCTCATTATGTCCGGTCGTGATGGTCAAGTGGATTAAGGCGTCTTGTACATACCAGTTGCGTTGCTTCTGGGAGTATGGGTTCGAGTCACTTCTGGGGTGTGAGTTTTCAGTTGCATATGTCCTGGGGACCATTCAGGCTTGTTCGCATTTGTGTTCCTCACGTGTGCCCCAAAGAATGAGGTGATTTGGTAAAATGCTATGCCCAAGATAACTATCCGAGTGCCGGCGGTGGGGTGGTTCATATAGCCTCGGCTATCACCTCATTATGTCCGGTCGTGATGGTCAAGTGGATTAAGGCGTCTTGTACATACCAGTTGCGTTGCTTCTGGGAGTATGGGTTCGAGTCACTTCTGGGGTGTGAGTTTTCAGTTGCATATGTCCTGGGGACCATTCAGGCTTGTTCGCATTTGTGTTCCTCACGTGTGCCCCAAAGAATGAGGTGATTTGGTAAAATGCTATGCCCAAGATAACTATCCGAGTGCCGGCGGTGGGGTGGTTCATATAGCCTCGGCTATCACCTCATTATGTCCGGTCGTGATGGTCAAGTGGATTAAGGCGTCTTGTACATACCAGTTGCGTTGCTTCTGGGAGTATGGGTTCGAGTCACTTCTGGGGTGTGAGTTTTCAGTTGCATATGTCCTGGGGACCATTCAGGCTTGTTCGCATTTGTGTTCCTCACGTGTGCCCCAAAGAATGAGGTGATTTGGTAAAATGCTATGCCCAAGATAACTATCCGAGTGCCGGCGGTGGGGTGGTTCATATAGCCTCGGCTATCACCTCATTATGTCCGGTCGTGATGGTCAAGTGGATTAAGGCGTCTTGTACATACCAGTTGCGTTGCTTCTGGGAGTATGGGTTCGAGTCACTTCTGGGGTGTGAGTTTTCAGTTGCATATGTCCTGGGGACCATTCAGGCTTGTTCGCATATATATATATATATATATATATATATATATATATATATATATATATATATATATATATATATATATATATATATATATATATTATTTTTTTATGTAGAATTATATTTATATTAGGTTAGGTGTCTATAGTTTCCTCTGGCAATTATTCAACCGGTCCTCAAGCTATGTTCATTCCAGCCCGTCTTCCACAACAAAGGCCAAGTGTTAGGTAACATAGCAACCCGTCCTCAGACCAAGTCCATTCCATCCAGCGGTCGACCCCAAAGACCCATTCATAAATTTTAACATGCTGTTCATTCAAAATTTGAATTTTCTCAAATATAAATTATTATTATTATATATTAGCATATTGTGCATATTTAGGCATTGATTAGGTTAGGTTACGTGTTTAGGTTCTGTTGGCGATTATTTGTATTTGTAGTACGTGGGTGAAGCATTTACAGCGTTGTGGTTCGAACAAAATTAGTCAGCGAAGCACTTGTTCCGGAAGTGTTCGGACGTCATCAGTTGTGAGTCGTTTGTAAACTGTTTTTCATTCATAAACAGGGGGTTTGGCGGGTGGATGGAATGGACATTGAGCCTTTGTTTAGAGGACGGGCTGCATTTATCAGCTCGTTCTCTAAATAAAAGCCCAAACTCCACTCCGCCCAGCCCAAGTGATTGGGCAAAGTAAAATAAAAATCAGGAGTAATCACTAAGCCATTACGACTATATAACACTTGGACCAGATATGAGGATAAGGATTTAGGATAGGACAAGGAAAGGGACGGTGCCCAACCACAAGGACGGTCGGGGATTGAACGCCGACCTGCAAGAAGGGAGACAGTCCCTTCCCATCATATATATATATATATATATATATATATATATATATATATATATATATATATATATATATATATATATATATATATATATATATATATGTCGTACCTAGTAGCCAGAATGCACTTCTCGGCCTACAATGCAAGGCCCGATTTGCCTAATAAGCCAGGTTTTCCTGAATTAATATATTTTCTCTAATTTTTTTCTTATGAAATGTTAAAGCTACCCATTTCATTATGTATGAGGTCAATTTTTTTTTATTGGAGTTAAAATTAACGTAGATATATGACCGAACCTAACCAACCCTACCTAACCTAACCTAACCTATCTTTATAGGTTAGGTTAGGTTAGGTAACCAAAAGAGTTAGGTTAGGTTAGGTTAGGTAGGTTAGGTAGTCGAAAATCAATTAATTCATGAAAACTTGGCTTATTAGGCAAATTGGGCCTTGTATAGTAGGCTGAGAAGTGCGTTCTGGCTACTAGGTACGACATATATATATATATAACCCAAACAAACAATCCACTAAAATATGACTTATTTAGAACATTGCATGATGTTTACTTAAACATATTCATAAAGTACTTCCACTGAGTAGTTTAGCATCTCCCGGCAGGACTCCCTAAATATAAACATTGACGTGAACTATTTTTCAAGGGCACCCTGATATCCTTCGCTGAATCGTCAGGGGGGAAGAGCGCCACCCCTCAGGGCTCGCCACGCAGGTATGGCGAACACCTGGTGAAGATATGAACCGGTGGTGCTCAGGTGAACACGCCCTTATCTGAACACGCCTCAGATGAACACGTAGAGTGGGGGGTGAAATGGTTGGTGAGGGAGGGGGCGGCGGGGGGTAACGAGACCCACGTGGAACAATGGAGGGGGGGAGTGGTTATCGTGGAGTTGGAAAGAGGGGAACATGGGGTTGGGGGAGGGAGGGGGAGAATGAGGAAATGGAGAAAGAATGGTATTTTTATCAACATGGGCTGGCGACAAGTTCTGGATCGGCAGTCAAGCGGAAGCCTCGCAACGCGACACACACCTGACTCGAGACTTGCTTCGACTCCACAGACGGCAGATGCTGCATCGGCCAAGAGAAGCTTTAACAGAAGTCACAGCAGCGGCAGCATCAGCAGCATCAACAAATAGCTGGTAGCAGCAAAACGATAACATGAGGGCAGTCATATTATTGCTGTGCCTTTGTCTCTCTCTTGCTGAGATAACAGGCGTCGTCGGCAAGAGACTACGGGTGAGTTACTGTCCCACAGTCACTGTCTCACAAGCAGTCACTGTTTCCTTACTGTCTTGTTATTACATGCAATCTCCGTCCCTCACAGCTACTGTCCCACAGTCACTGTCTGCCAGTTACTGTCTTATATACAGGCACTGCTTCCCTTACTATATTATTCTTATTAATAATCTCTACCTCACATTCAGTCACTGACTTTGTCACAGTTTCACAGTTACTGTTTTATACACATTCACTGTCTTCCAGTTACTGCCTCACATACAGTCACTATACAATCGTCTGAGAGGCTGTTTAAGTTCCCAAATACTTTTTTCCAACATGTGTATGTTTGTAGGGGGTAGAAATAGCCTAAGCTACTCTATCCCTTTGAGATGTATTTTTTTTCGTCTGGGTAAACTTACTTGAACTTGAACTTGTATGTTTGATAATCTAAAGTAGTTTAGAAATGGCGGAAATCTAATATTATTTTACAGGCCAAACCAGAAGAGAAATACTTGTATTGAATACGGAGGTTTCAAAATAAAATTTTAATGAATTTATAATTTTTGGGTATTAAAAAACACACTTCAAGTGCTTAAATTGAATTGTGCAAGAAACTGACTTTGTGATTTTTAATAACAATATTTTTTTTCGAAGATTGTTTCCAGGACAAATCAAGTGATTTTTGCAATTTTGTTTTTGGGTCTGTGAGTTTGTAAATTTGTGACTATGTGAGACTGTAAATGTGTAAGTTTGCGAGGTTGTGAGTTTATTTGTGAATATGTAAGTTTGTGAGTCTGTCACTGCTTGAGAGAGAGATAGGGAGTGTACTTATCTAGTTACCTAGTTGTGCTAGCGGGGGTTGAGCTCTGGCTCTTTGGTCCCGCCTCTCAACTGTCAATCAACTGGTGTACAGGTTCCTGAGCCTACTGGGCTCTATCATATCTACACTTGAAACTGTGTATGGAGTCAGCCTCCACCACATCACTTCCTAGTGCATTTAATTTGTCTACTACTCTGACACTGAAAAAAATATTTCTATTGTCTCTATGGCTCATTTGGGCACTCAATTTCCACCTGTGTCTCCTTGTTCGCGTACCACCCGTGTTAAAAAGCTTATCCTTATCTATCCTGTCAATTCTTCTGAGAATATTGTAGGTAGTAATCATGTCTCCTCTTACTACTCTGTCTTCCAGTGTCGTGAGGTGCATTTCACGCAGCCTTTCCTCGTAACTCATGCCTCTTAGTTCTGGGACTAGTCTAGTGGCATACCTCTGAATTTTTCCCAGTTTCGTCTTATGCCTGACAAGGTACGGGCTCCATGCTTGGGTCGCATATTCCAGGATTGGTCTTACATATGCTGTGTACAAGGCTCTGAATGATTCCTTACACAGGTTCCTGAAAGCTGTTCTGATGTTAGCTAGCCTCGCGTATGCCGCAGATGTAATTATTTTTGTGGGCTTCAGGAGACAGGTTTTGAGTGATATCAACTCCTAGATCTTTCTCTCTGTCCATTTCATGAAGGACTTCATCTCCCATTTGGTACCCTGTGTCTAGCCTCCTGTTTCCACTGCCTAGCTTCATGACCTTGCATTTACTTGGGTTGAACTTTAGTAGCCATTTGTTGGACCATTCATTCAGTCTGTCTAGGTCATCTTGTAGCCTCATACAAGCTTCCTCCGTCTTAATCCTCCTCATAATTTTCGCATCATCAGCAAACAATGAGAGGAACAATTCTATATCCTCTGGGAGATCAATTACATATATCAGAAACAGTATAGGTCCAAGGACTGAACCCTACGGGACTCCACTGGTCACGCCTCGCCAATATGAGGCTTCACCCCTCTCAGTGACTCGTTGTTTTCTGTTACTTAGGTACACCCTTATCGAATGGAATACCTTCCCTTTCACTTCTGCCTGCATCTCCAGCTTTCGCACTAGTCTCTTGTGTGGCACTTTGTCAAAGGCTTTCTGGCAATACAAAAATATGCAGTCTGCCCACCCCTCTCTTTCTTGTCTGATTTTTGTTGCCAGATCGTTGAATTCAATTAATCCTGTAAGGCATGACTTGCCATCCCTGAACCCATGTTGATGTTGAATCACAAAGTTCCTTTCGCTCTGGATGTTCCACTAGCATTTTTTCACACAATCTTCTCCATCAACTTGCATGGCATGCAAGTTAGGGACACTGGCCTGTAGTTCAGGGCTTCCTGTCCATCCCCCTTCTTGTATATTGGGACTATATTTGCCGTCTTCCAAATATTTGGCAGTTCACCTGTTACCAGTGATTTGTTATACACCATGGAGAGTGGCAGGCACAGTGCTTCTGGTCCTTCCATTAGATTCCATGGTGATATTCCATCTGGGCCTATAGCCTTTGTCACATCCAACTCTAGCAAAAGCTTCCTTACATCCCCACTGGTAATCCCAAACTCCTCTAATAGTGCCTGGTTGACTATTCCTTCTCCTATCTCTGAAACTTCCCCTTGCTCTAATGTGAATACCTCCTGAAATTTCTTACTGAGTTCCTCACACACGTCCTTGTCGTTTGTGGTGAATCTGTCTGCCCTTATCCTCAGTTTCATTACCTGTTCCTTCACTGTGGTTTTTCTCCTGATGTGGCTGTGCAACAATTTAGGTTGAGTCTTTGCCCTGCTTGCTATGTCGTTTTTGTATTGCCCTTCTGCCTCTCTTCTCACCCTGACGTATTCATTCCTGGCACCCTGGTATCCTTCTCTGCTCTCAAGTGTCCTGTTATTTCTATAGTTTCTCCATGCCCTTTTACTTAGTTGCTTTGCTAGCTTACATCTCTAATTAAACCATGGGTTTCTCATTTGCATTTCCTTTTTTTCCTTTTGGGCCGGGATAAACTTGTCTGCTGACTCTTTACACTTCTGCGTGATGTATTCCGTCATGTCTTGGTCGTCTTTTCCCTGAGCTCTGTTTCTAATGTTATATCTGTTAGGAATTTTCTTATCTCCACATAGTTTCCTTTGCAGAATACCAGCCTTTTGTTTTCAGGTCCCTTCCTTGAGTACATTAACCATTTTTCGACCAGACACTCAAACGTCAGTACGCTGTGGTCGCTCATTCTTACTGGGGCCACGAAACCGAGTTCCCTTATGTCGGAGTCGTTCAGAGTGAAGACTAGGTCGAGTCTTGCTGGTTCATCATTTCCCCTCATCCTAGTAGGTTCCCTGACATGCTGACTTAAAAATTTTTTAGTTGGCACCTCCAATAGTTTAGCTCTCCGTGTTTCCTCTCCTCCATGCAGTTCCTTGTTCTCCCAGTCTATCATTCCATGATTTAAACCCTCCATAATGATCAGATGGGACCGAATTCTACAGGCAGCAGAGGCTGCACTCTCAATTATATTGTTAACTGCCATGTTGTTTCTGTCATACTCTTGCCTGGGTTTTCTGTCATTTGGTGGTGGGTTATATATTACGGCTACTACTGCTCTTGGTCCTCCCATTGCCATGATGCCTGTTATGCAGTCTCTGAACCTCTCACAGCCTGGGATAATCTTCTCCTTGAAACTCCATTTCTTTCTCATGAGTAGGGCCACGCCGCCTCCTCCCCATCCTTCCTTCCTTCCCTCTCTTTCCTTATTACAGTGTAGTCCTGGGGAAACACCGCATTGGTTATGATTACTGAGAGTTTTGTTTCTGTGAGTCCAATTTCATCCAGGTTTACTTCTTGTACTCTTACCCTAGTGTGAACCAGGGAACACAACGTGTGTGAACCAACACATCGCAGGTTGTATGTACACACCTATTTGTACTCACCTATTTGTGCTTGTGGGGGTTGAGCTCTAGCTCTTTGGTCCCGCCTCTCAACCGTCAATCAACAGGTGTACAGGTTCCTGAGCCTATTGGGCTCTATCATATTTACACTTGAAACTGTGAATGGAGTCAGCCTCTGCCACATCACTTCCTAATGCATTCCATTTGTCAACCACTCTGACACTAAAAAAGTTCTTTCTAATATCTCTGTGGCTCATTTGGGCACTCAGTTTCCACCTGTGTCCCCCCTAGTGCGTGTGCCCCTTTTGTTAAATAGCCTGTCTTTGTCTACCCTATCAATTCCTTTGAGAATCTTGTATGTGGTGATCATGTCCCCCCCTAACTCTTCTGTCTTCCAACGACGTGAGGTTTAATTCCCGTAGTCTCTCCTTGTAGCTCATACCTCTCAGCTCGGGTACTAGTTTGGTGGCAAACTTTTGAACCTTTTCCAGTTTACTCTTATGCTTGACTACATACAGACTCCATGCTGGAGCTGCATACTCCAGGATTGGTCTGACGTATGTGGTATACAAAGTTCTGAATGATTCCTTACACAAGTTTCTAAATGCCGTTCTTATGTTGGCCAACCTGGCATATGCCGCTGATGTTATCCTCTTGATATGGGCTTCAAGGGACAGATCTGGCGTGATATCATCCCCCAGGTCTTTCTCTCTCTCTGACTCTTGAAGAGTTTCATCTCCCAAATGATAAATTGTATCTGGCCTTCTGCTCCCTACACTTATCTTCATTATATTACATTTGCTTTGGTTAAACTAACAACCATTTGTTCGGCCATTCCTGCAGCTTGTCCAAGTCTTCTTGAAGCCTCAAGCTGTCCTCCTCTGTCTTAATCCTTCTCATAATTTTGGCGTCGTCAGCAAACATTGAGAGGAATGAATCTATACCCTCCGGGAGATCATTTACATATATCAGAAACAGGACAGGTCCGAGTACAGAGCCATGTGGGACTCCACTGGTGACTTCACACCAATCTGAGGTCTCACCCCCTCACTATAACTCTCTGCTTCCTATTGCTTAGGTACTCCCTTATCCACTGGAACACCTTACTAGTTACTTCTGCCTGTCTCTCCAGCTTATGTATCAGCCTCTTATGGGTTAGTGTGTCAAAGGCTTTCCGACAATCCAAGAAAATGCAGTCCGCCCGGCCTTCTCTTTCTTGCTTAATCTTTATCACCTGGTCGTAGAAATTCTATTAAGCCAGTAAGGCAAGATTTACCCTCCCTGAACCCATGTTGATGGGTTGTCACGAAGTCCCTTCTCTCCAGATGTGTTACTAGTTTTTTTCTCACAATCTTCTTCATCACCTTGCATGGTATACAAGTTAAGGACACTGGCCTGTAGTTCAGTGCCTCTTGTCTGTCGCCCTTTTTGAATATTGGGACTACATTAGCCGTCTTCCATATTTCTAGTAGGTCTCCCGTCTCCAGTGACCTACTATGCACTATGGAGAGTGAGAAGCAAAGTGCCTCTGCACACTCTTTCAGTACCCATGGCGAGATTCCGTCTGGACCAACAGCCTTTCTCACATCCACATCTCATATCCTTTCCACACGTGAACAGGTGTGTGTGCGCGTACGTGCGTGCGTGTGTGTGAATCAACATCACGCAGGCAGGCTGACGTTGACACCTGTCACATACATGTGACTGGCCACGTGTACACCTGTCCAGTCACGCCACACAACCATAAAACAACAAAAGCATTCACCGTTGCTGTGTCCTTATTACATGACCACATTTAAGTGTCTTTTTTTTCCAGATGATTTTGCTTAATTTTTTCACATATGTTTTTTGTTTTTATTATGTTCACATTGGTTCGTTATTTACCTCTGATCGTAGTGACGTTTGAACGAACAGATAAGGACAGTCAACTTAGCACTGTTACGTGTTATACATTAATAATTTACCTTCATGTTTAATTTAATTTAATGTTATACCTTCATTTTGGGTATAACATTACCTTTACGTGAGGTCTTATATTGTATTTTTTAGGCCTCATATGACCTTTCCTGATATTACCTTTTTAGGTATGGTCTACGTACTTTTTAAGTACGAAATGAATTTTCAGGCCTGATACTACTTTTTCTTATAGGTCTGATATGATTTGTTCACATTGTGCCTTACTATTGAACACATAACCTAACGTTTTTCGTTTAATTATATTTAATAAATCAAAATATTTATATGTATATTTTTACTGCCAGTTTCTTGGATAAATTGTTATTAAAAAAACTTTCAGGCGTTGGAGTTTAAATAGCTTTTAACATACGAATTAACGTTCTAGACAGTATACAATTACATATATATCTTAACACACAATAACCTTGCATACATGACTAAACAAACATAACTTAATATAATTTAAGTTAAAAATAACGTACATAGTTTGAGGATAAATTTCTGGAAATTGGATGCGAAGTAATTTCAATATGACTTGAGCTATAATCTATTTCTTTTTAATATTATAGCAAATGATCTCATGAAAAGTAATCATTTTTATTTTAAAATCTTTATTGCCTAGCTGGAGCAGATTTATTAGTAAAGTTAAACAAATAATCATAATTTAATGTGAAGAGGAGTTTGATAACGATAATTATCTTAACTTTTGTGTTGTCTGAATTTGTAAGTAAATCGTATGTTAATTATACGTTAATTTTAATTGTTAATTTTTGGCCGTTTGCCCGTATGGCCGAAAGTGGATGTAATTTGAAAATGAAAATAAATTTGTGATTTTTTTCAACAACAGTAAGTTAAGGGTCCTCCTATAGGTTAGGTGGGCAGGAAATTCTCATAAAGTTTTAAAACGTTATGAAAAACGTTAATTGAAAGTTTCTTCTCCTAACCTTTCCGAGTAGGCCGGACGACTCAAGCAGAAAACGGGACAGTACGTCACTTTTGTGAGTCGATTTCATTTCAATTTACGTCCACATTTGGCCATAGAGCGCATACGAGCCAAAAGCGACGTTATTTTTAAGAGGACGGGTTGCTCTAACACATTCTCATTGATCACACACTCACAGATTATACTTCAATTCAAGCAATAAACCCACATTTAACACCCTTACAGCGGTCGAAGGTGAGGGGGACGCCGCAGAAGGAAAAGTTCGCAGGTGACTTGACAGCTACGAACTCGTCTGCCAGGGCCCTCTGCCTGAGGGGCCTCATCAACACCTGCCAGGTCCAGGGCGGCGTGTGTGTCATGAAGGGCAAGTGCGCAAGATCAGCCAGGATCCTCCATGGTATCGGGTGTCAACCATGCACCTGTTGCATCTCAGCTCCACGTAAGTGCTGCCCCTCACGGCTACGTAAGTGCCCTGAGGAGCACTTAAGTGTCTACGTAAGGAGGACATAATTCAGTTTCATAAATTATGTCTTCGTTAATAATAATAATATTAATAATAATAATAATAATAATAATAATAATAATAATAATAATAATGACAATGTCAAGAAGAATAAGATGGAGGTGTCTCTCCCCCAGCACCAACTGGATGCTCACCGAGCCAAGCCTGCAGCGCCAATTTCGGCGTGTGTTCCTACCAATGTCTGCCGGGCGCCGCCGCCCTCCCCGGCCTGTGTGGCCGCCCGGACTGCTTCTGCTGCGTGACGGGCTGCCACGACACACAGCCCTGCATCGCCCTTCACGGAAAATGCATCAGTACTCACAACACGTGTGTAGGGACGGTTAAGACCGGCCTGTGTCAGGGGTCCGGCTGTGTGTGCTGCATTCCTTCCCTTCCTCCTCCCAGTAAGTGTGACTATATATACCACTTGGAAGGGATATGAGATAGACTAAGAACTGGGATATGAAAATAAAGCCAGTAGGAATATATCTCACTTGATGTTGATGATTCTGCAAAGTGCAGTCGGGTCATAGATGAAAGGGTTCCCTGATTTAATTCCCGCAGGCGGACAGAAGCATTTGGCTTTCATCCGATACCTCTGTTCACCTAGCAGTAAATAGGTACATAGGAGTTAGACAACTGTTGTGTGTTGCATTCTGGGCGAAGTCAGTAATAGGCGTAGGAAGTCGTCGATAATCCTAACAGATGTCCTGTCGTCGACTTTATTATTTAAATAAAGAAATGTTGTACATTAATGGGAAAATATTGAAGTCGTGTGCCTGGGAGACCCAAAGACGCAGGTTTGATCCCTTTGTATTGCTTCAATATTGTCCCATAGATACATCCCGACTTCGTAACCTCACTGAGCTATACATATGCCAGCACATCACTTAGGTGGTGTTAAACAATACTGATCATGTTACAAGATCTATCACAGCGTGCTAGCCTCCTGCACCTGCCCGAGCCTACCTTGTAACGAGGTATTTGAACCCAAGTTGTAACAAGCCTCTGATCCTAAGAAGAGTGAGAGCACAACACCACAAACCTTGAGGCTGGTTCTCACCACAGACATCTGGCTTCGTTACCCCCCCCCCCCTCTTCCATCCTCTTTTGAGTCCTCGCGGCTGAGTGCACAGCGCTTGGGGGTCGTAGTCCTAAGGGCCCGGGTTCGATTCCCGGCGGAGGCGGAAACTAATAGGTAGAGTTTCTTTCATTCTGATGCCCTTTGTTCATTTAGCAGTAAATAGGTACCTGGGAGTTAGACAGCTGCTACGGGCTGCATCCTGGGGATGTCTGTGTGTACTCACCTATTTGTTCTTGCGGGGGTTGAGCTCTGGCTCTTTGGTCCCGCCACTTAACTGTCAATCAACTGGTGTACAGATTCCTGAGCCTAATGGGCTCTATCTTATCTACATTTGAAACAGTGTATGGAGTCAGCCTCCACCACATTACTGCCTAATGCATTCCACCTGTTAACTACTTTGATCGCACACACACACACTACTCTGTGTGTGTGTGTGTGTGTGTGTGTGTGTGTGTGTGTGTGTGTGTGTGTGTGTGTGTGTGTGTGTGTGTGTGTGTGTGTGTGTGTGTGTGTGTGTGTGTGTGTGTGTGTTAGAGAGAAATATATGTAGTAGACATAATATAGAAAAAATAAATTGATTAGAAAGGCGGGATCCAAGAGCTAATAGCTCGGTTCAGCAGACTCAAATAGTAAACAAATACACCTGACACCAATACAACCCTTCCTCACATATGGATTTCAATTTTGTGAACTCTTCTCCAAATATATGAACAACTCTGAACAAACCTTCACACACCTGTCATATAGTTTAAGCAGACGATGGGACTAATCCTGTTGTACTGTTTCCACACCGTAGCCTGCGGCCTCGATGAGAGCTGTAAGCACCACGACGGAGTGTGCAAGTTGGACTGTACAAATAATGAGAAATATATTCCTGGCGCCTGCTTAAAGAAAGATTGCAAGTGCTGTGTTAAAGGTAAGCAACAGGGGCTTCGTAATATTGTTCTCATACACAGATCATCAACAGAAAACAATGAACTATCTGTTTACACGTGTACCATCTGTTTACACGTGTACCATCTGTTTACACGTGTACCATCTGTTTACACGTGTACCATCTGTTTATACATGAACCATCTGTTTATACATAATCTCGTTCAGCTCACAATGTGTTAGTTAAATAATGTGTTAGCTCCCATTTTAACCCCCCAAAAATACCTTTATTGCAAGTGCATAGATCAATAAATTAATATTCCTGCCGCACCAGGCCCGGAGTGCCCTCCGAAGAAAGGCTGCGACCGCAAGAATGGAGTCTGCAGGAAGTACTGTCATGATGACGAGGAGAAACACTACGAGGGCTGCGGCCACAAGGGCTGTGTGTGCTGCGTCCGCAAGCGTAAGTTAAAAGTCACTTCGTTCAAATTCACTCAACTTGAACTGCTCAAGTTCACTGTCTAATTTCTTAAGAAATCGTCTGACTAAAATAAATTGTCCACTAAGCTGCCCGAGGAAAAAGGCCAAACGTTTGAGCGGGAAAGAATAGCCGTTTTCTATATACTGTAGAGGTAAACTGTCAGAAAATTCCGCTCATTACCTAGAGCCAAAAATTGCGCTGCACCGTGTAATTAAAGGAGAAAGCGCGAAGCAGTTATGCCTATATAGTGCTGGGGTTTGAGGACACGGAGCTGGGATACGAGGACACGGAGCTGGGATATGAGGACACGGAGCTGGGATACGAGGACACGGAGCTGGGATACGAGGACACGGAGCTGGGATATCAGGCTATATATACACTGAGAGGTATACCCTTCTTGTCGGTGTATATACACTGAGTTTACTTTAGACCTGGATAATGTTCAGGATTACAGTATACTTGCTGACTGGTCAGTAAACCGTTGTGGTGGCCATAATAACTCCCCAGAGGCTGACAGGGCTTAAGGTCAACTCCAAACCAAGTTTTCACAAACAAAGCTTCTTTATTGTTCAAATTCGTGAACAAAATCGCCCAATAAAGCAAAAAAAAGTTAATATTTCCCCAAAAATAACCTCCCCATTAAATACCAGACACAACCAGCAAAGTAACCATATAAATATAGCTCCAGTCGAATACCCCGATTATGTCAAAATTAATAAATCACCCCAATAAAGTAGACTCAGTAAAAGTGTAAGTAAAGGGTGGTCCATGTTATATTTGGAAAACAAATACAGTGGTAGAGCTTGTGATTAACCAAGATATATTGTAAAGACAATTAAAAGTGTTATTTAGATCGTATATTTTTAATAAAGGGGTGACTACATCAAACATCCCAGCTCCTCGACTAGTCTTGGAGACGCTTGTCAGCCCCTTAGACACGCAACGCATCAAACTATAAATGTGGCCTTATATAAAGATATATATATATATATATATGTGTGTGCTTTGTATCAAACTTTATATGTGGCCTTGTATGGGCTCCAATAGCAGCTGCTTCGTATTGGCCAGTAAGCCTTGTGTAGTTCCAGAAATTCATATCTTCCACGCACGCCATCTTCTCTTTCAGATTATCCACCACCCCCTAACAATGGTTACAATCCACCACCACATCATAAGCCTGATTACAAGTCTGAGCAAGGCGGCGGTGATGAGTACAGGCGTCGCGATGTTGGTGGCGGGAACAGTGGAGAGTGCAGCGCCACGCAGGAGTGTCTGGAGAAGGAGGGAGAGTGCAGGGAGACTTGCAACACTGGGGAGAAGGAGCTTGAAGGCGGTTGCACAGGCGAGGCCGGGTGCAGGTGTTGCTTTACTTAGCAGGTAATGTTGTTGCGACGAATTTACTGAAATTAAAGCACTCTAATATTTACGTTCTCGATGCCTACATTGACTTGGATAGCTAAGGTGGGATGTTTGGGTTCGTGTGTGACTGGCTAGGGCAACACCACGACCTGCGGATCTGTAATAGGCCTACCAGTGAAAATATATATACAGTATGTCTAAAGTAATTGGTGTGAATTTTGTATTATAGTCGCTCTTGATTTACAGATGCCCCCTGTACCCGCTCCTGGCACTGTACCCGCTCTAGTCCTTGAGAACTCTTGAGGGACGAACATCGTAGCACTCAAGAGTCCTTCAACAGATATACAGCAACACTCTTACAGACAGACAAGACGGCCAAGACAACACAACAGGAACATTGACTGAAAATCTCTAGCAAATGCAACAAAAACACGAACCTGGAACAAGGACAAGAGCCTGCAACAAAGACACGAGCCTGCAGCAAACACAACAAGGACACGAACCTGCAACAAATACAAAAATGACATAATCCTGCACCAAGAACACGAGCCTACAACAAATACAACAAGGACATGACCGTACACCAAGGACACGAGCCTACAACAAATACAACAAGGACATGACCGTACACCAAGGACACGAGCCTACAACAAATACAACAAGGACATGACCGTACACCAAGGACACGAGCCTACAACAAATACAACAAGGACATGACCGTACACCAAGGACACGAGCCTACAACAAATACAACAAGGACACGATGACAAATGACTGTAATTTTCTAAAAAAAAAAAAAAATTGTGTTATGGTTAAAGAGTAAGTAGAGAGATAGAGCTGGGAACGTTAGAAATGTGGTGTTTAGGAGCGCACACAGACAGTCTTTGTTTTGACGACTGAATACCCCAAAAGAAGACTTCCCCGGCTGCAGCCACGATTCATCAAGTATTTGTGCGTCCACTTGCGAAACCTTTACATCTTTGTAAACTGTTTACGAGCTGGGAAAGATCACAACCCAAGGTTATTATTGTTATACACAACCACATAGTGCTTTGGAGCTCGTAAGATCAAATGTAAACTAAATATTACATGTAAACAATGTAAATTAAGCCACCATAATTGTTGAAAGATGTATAGGTTTCGTAAATTATTTGTGTAGATTATTGGTGAATCCTGGGCGTGGGTTTGTGCACCGAAAAGATCAATGTGAGAATAATAAATGTACTGTTTCTGGCATGCAATATGTGTTGGTGTTATTGTCATAACATTTGCTTGAGTCACCGCTTATTAGTTACTAAAAAGAACAGTTTTCTTTGGTTTACTGCCGAATGACAAAGTTTGTAAAACTTAACAAATAAAGTTTAACACTAAGTTTAAACAAGTTACATAGCTACATGTGATGCAAGTTCCTATTTCTTGAATTTTAATACTTAAACAAATAGTCAGTATCTTTAGATCAAAGGGAAGCTGTTGGATACGCTGGTTTTGTAATATCTTTTTTTTACGCAATAAAAATTTTGTTTTGAATGATGTTTACGAAATACCTTGGGGTGGGAAGCTTCGTGTGTGTGTGCTGTTTGTGCTCGCCGGTCCCAGCTCTTAGCTCCTGGACCCCGACTTTCTAATAGTTGGTTGTCAAGGGTACTGACCCCTCCAACCTCAGCTTTTCCTCCCATCATATTTACTACATATATTTCTCTCTAAAACACAAACACACACACACACACACACACACACACACACACACACACACACACACACACACACACACACACACACACACACACACACACACACACACATACATACACACACCTGTGCCACCTACCTCATTTGTGTTGTGAACTAAGTTATGCTTATTTGAATTTGTATGAGGAGTTGCGTGGTGACCGCCGGCCAGGTCGGACGTTCCTGAGGTCTCTCCGCTCCTGCCTAGTGTTTACGTTGGGCGATTGCTTGTTTGCCCTGCTGGTGGTGGTTTGCCACTGACAGGGTGACGTTTGCCTTAGCCATGGGGTCGTCTCGCCCCCCCAAATGAGGAGGACGTTGTCGGCTGGTCTCGCGTTTAGGGTGCCGGTGGACCATCCGCTGGTTGGTGTCGCCCTGGTGGACGTGCTACATGTGCAGCTGTCGGACCTGGTGGGCATCCAGCTGCTTCAGGGCCACCGTGCTGTGGTCAAGTTCCGCCTCCAGGCTGCCTTTCAGGCGTTTCTCGAGTGGTGTGAGGGGCGTGTTTACCCTCTCCCTGATACTGCTGGCTCCGTTAAGGTAGTGAATCTTAGTGTCACCTTGACGTCTGTGGCGGTGCATGGTGCCCCCTTCGAATTTCAGGACGACTTTTTAACCTCCTGTTTCGACCGATTTGGGACAGTGTTAAGTGTTCGTTGGAACAAGGTCGTTGCCGGGCACTGTGTTGGTATGCTTGACGGCTCCCGCACCCTGACGATGTCGCTGAAGTGTAGTGTACTGTCGTCGATGTCCGTGTTGGGTTACACACTCCGCTGCCTGTATCGGGGTCAGCCGCGCACCTGTTATCGGTGTGGTCACGAGGGTCATCTGGCTGCTGCGTGCGACGTGGGAGCAACTGGTCGGGTGCATGTTCTTCGTGCGGAGGATTTTCCGCCCCTGTTGCGTTCGGACGGTTCTGAGGACGGAGTGGGTGCTGTGCCTGAGGCGCCTGATTGCCTGTCTGCTGCTCCGCCTGTTGTGGCGAGTTCTACGGCCTGTGCGACACGTCAGGTGACTGCTGTGGCCCCTGGGGTTGTTGAGCCGGTGTGTGAGGGTGTCGGGCCGTCGCCTGAGCTGCGTGTAGTGAAGGGTGTCCCGGTAGAGGTCCATGTCCCACCCCCGCCTGTGGATGTGGTACCGGCTCCCGAGGACGCGGGTTCTGCTGTTCTGGAGGGGGTGCTTCGGCAAGGTGAGGTGCCTGCCGTGCCTGTGTGTGTTGACGACTGTAGTTCTGCTCTTTCCATCCCTTTGCAGAAGCGTGCGCGTCGGTGTTCTGAGGCTGTTTCCCTGGGTGATGTAGACAGTGTGGGTGATGTGGCCTCTGTGGACTCTTCGGACGGTGCGGGTGTGGCCTGTGTGGATGTGACGATGGTGGCTGTGCCTGCGGAGGGGCCTGCTGGGCGTGGCGTGGTGCGACCTGTCTCGAAGCGTTCGCGGCGGGCTCGGTGTCCCCCCTTCGTGGTGTGCCTTGGGAGGTGGTGGGGGAGTATGGTGCTCTGGCGTCCCCCGCCGAGGATGATGGTGCTGTGTGGGGCTCTGAAGTTGCTACCTGTGCCCCCCCCCCCTCCTGCGTCTCCTGCTGTTGGATCTCCGCAGTGGGGGGTTGTCCCTGATGATCGGGACCTCGTCGTGATGTTGCAGAAAGATGTGCGCCGGGGGGCCTCGACTCCTGTGCCCGGTGGTGGGGTCGATGACGCACCAGCATCCCCTGCTGTTCCCCCTCCTTCCTTGCTCCGGTCTGGGGGTTGCCTAGTCCCGTCTGCTGGGGTCGTGCCCTGTGAGGGTCCGGAGTTGGGCCCTTATCGGGACGCCCGGGTGCTTCCGATCGCGTGGTGCTCGTCCACTATCTGGGTATCGTCGGAGGAGGAGTTTGTTTATAGGGTGCCTGATAGGATGTCTCAGCCGAGGGCGCCGCCTGGTGGCCGGCTGTCCGCTGACCTGTGGGTGATTTGGGAAGCTTACTGCTTGCGCTTTCCGATACGCAAGTTTCCGGAGAGGTATTAGTTCCTGTTTTGCGCACACTGCTAAGCCGTGCCTGGATCAGCTGCCGCCGTGACCACGACTCCCCGCCCCCCGGTGCGGGGTGTCTCCCTCTAACGTCCGCGTCTGTTCTCGTCGCCACTCCTCTCTCTACGGCCCATCACATCTACCGATTTTGACTTTCTTCTCCTAACGGTCAACGCGTTTCCTTACATCTGTCCTGGTGCAGTCATCGAGAGGGTTAACCCTTCATGCAAACTGCACCTATTGTCAAGAAGAAGAAGAATTTGTATAAAGTATGAGAGTAGGAGTAAGAGTTGTTGTTGCCTTTAGAAGAAGGTGTTCTCGGTCTCTCTCACGACCGAGCAGCGTTACTCCAGACATCAGGGACAACCATCAGACCAATCCTGGAGTATGCAGCTCCAGCCTGGAGTCCATACCTAGTTAAACACAATACAAAGTTAGAAAAGATTCAAAGGTATGCCTTCAGACTAGTCCCAGAACTGACAGGTATGAGCTACGAGGAAAGGCTAAAGGAGCTGAACCTCACGTCTCTGGAAGACAAAAGAGTAGGGGGAGATATGATCACCACCTACAAAATTCTCAGAGGAATTGACAGGGTGGACAAAGACAAAATCTTTAGCACGGGTGGAACACGAACAAGGGGACACATGTGGAAACTTAGTACCCAAATGAGCCACAGAGATATTAGAACAAATTTTTTCAGTGTCAGAGTAGTTAACAAATGGAATGCATTAGGCAGTGATGTGGTGGAGGCTGACTCCATACACAGTTTCAAATGTAGATATGATAGAGCCCAGTAGGCTCAGGAATTTGCTCACCAGTTGATTGACATTTGAGAGGCGGGACCAGTGAGCCAGAACTCAACCCCCGCAAGCACAACTAGATGAGTGTATCATATCATTTGATGTGATATGATGAAGTTGAGTCTTTTATGTCAATGTTCGCAGATGATGCAAAACTAATGAGGATGGTTGAGACAGATAAGGATTGTAAAATTCTCCAGGATGACTTGAAAAGGTTGCAGAGCTGGTCCAAGAAATGGCTGCTTGAGTTCAACACTAACAATTAATGCAAGGTGATGTAAATGGGATCAGGAGGCAGGAAACCGAAAGACCAGTACACGATGAAGGGAAACTACCTCCCTATAACGTCTAAAGAAAAAGACCTGAGGGTGGAAATAACACCAGCCCTAACTCCAGAGGCTCACATAAATAGAATAACGTCAGCCACATACTCTACTCTGGCAAAAGTCAGAACATCCTTCAGAAACTTGAATAAGGAAGCTTTTAGATCACTGTATACCGCCTATGTGAAGCCAGTCTTAGAGTATGGCGCCCCATCCTGGAGCCCCCCTCTTAAAAAAACACACAAGGAAGCTCGAAAAGATGTAGAAGTTTGCAACGAGACTCGTCCCAGAGCTGCGAGGGATGAGGTACGAAGACAGATTGAAGGAACTAAAGCTGACGACGTTAGAAAGGAGGAGATAGGGGGGGACATGATACAGATGTATAAAATACTTATAGGGATTGACAATGTGGAAACAGAGGAAATGTTTACAATGAATAACAATAGAACAAGGGGGCATGGGTGGAAGCTTGAGACTCAGATGTGTCATAGAGATGTTAGAAAGTTTTCTTTTAGCGTGAGGGTTGTGAGTAAATGGAATGACCTAAAGGAGCAGGTTATAGAGGCTAACTCTATTAATATCTTTAAAAGTAGGTATGATAGGGAAATAGGTCAGGAGCCATTGCATTAAACAACCAACTGCTAGAAAAGCGGGGTCCAAGAGCTAGCGCTCGATCCTGCAGGCACAAATAGGTGAGTACACACTCACACTCATCCCCAAGAAGCAGCCCGTAGCAGCTGTCTAACTCCCAGGTACCTATTTACTGCTAGAGGAACAGACGCATCAGGTGCAAGAAACTCTGCCCATTTGTTTCCGTCTCCGCCGGGAATCGAACTCAGCCGCGCACATGTGTGTGTGTGTGTATTCATAAATGAACTAAACTAGTCTCCAGCTTCCACCCATGCCCACTTGTTTTGTTGGTATTGTGATCACTTGCTTTATTTCCACTCTGTCAATCCCCGTGAGTATTTAGAACGTCTCTATCATGTCTCTCCTCTCTCATTTTTTTTCTAGCGTCGTCAGGGGGTTGAGCTCTGGCTCTTTGGTCCCGCCTCTCAACCGTCAATCAACAGGTGTACAGATTCCTGAGCCTATTGGGCTCTATCATATCTACACTTGAAACTGTGTATGGAGTCAGCCTCCACCACATTAGTTCCTAATGCAATCCATTTGTCAACCACTCTGACACTAAAAAAGTTCTTTCTAATATCTCTGTGGCTCATTTGGGCACTCAGTTTCCACCTGTGTCCCCTAGTGCGTGTGCCCCTTGTGTTAAATAGCCTGTCTTTATCAACCCTGTCGATTCCCTTCAGTATCTTGAATGTGGTGATCATGTCCCCCCCCTAACTCTTCTGTCTTCCAACGAAGCGAGGTTTAATTCCTGTAGTCTCTCCTCGTATCTCTCTCTCGTGTGTGTGTGAGAGTGTGTGAGAGTGTGTGTGTGTGTGTGTGTGTGTGTGTGTGTGTGTGTGTGTGTGTGTGTGTGTGTGTGTGTGTGTGTGTGTGTGTGTGTGTGTGTGTGAGTGAGTGCGTGTGTTAGAGAAAAATATATGTAGTCGATATAAGAAGAAAAATAGATTGGTTAGAAAGGCGGGGTCCAGGAGCTAATAGCTTGATTCTGCAGGCATAAATTGTAAATACTAACAATAAATACACACACACGCACACC